AGCCCGAAACGTCAGCCTCTCTGCTCCTATGATGCTGCTTGGCCTGCTGTGTTCATCCAGCCCTGCACCTTGTTGTCTCGGATTCTCCAGCATCTGCAGTTCCTACTATCTCTCATCCACTATTACTCTCTGTCTCCTGCCAATTATGTATCCAATTGGCAAGCTCACCCTGAATCCTGTGTGACCTAACTTTACTAATTAGTCTACCATGTGGAATCTTTTTGAAGGCTTTACTAAAATCCAAATAAACAATGTCTACTACACTCCCATCATCAATCTTTTTTGGTAACTTCCTCAAAAAACTCAATCAAGTTTGTGAGACACAATTTCCCTTGCACAAAACCATGTTGACTATCCCTAATCAATTTTTGCCTCTTCAAATGTCCACAAATCCTACCTTTATTAATCACTTCCAACAATTTTTTCACAACCGAGGTCAGAGTCAAGGGTCTATAGTTTCCCAGTTTCTCCTTACAACCCTTCCTTGACAAAGGTACAACATTAGCCACCCTCCAGTCATTAGGCACCTCATCCATAGTTATAAATGATGCAAATATTTCTGCAAGGGGTCTCATTATTTCTTTCCTTACTTCCCACAATGTTCTTGGATACATTAGATGAGGTCCACCTTAACTTATCCACCATTATATTCTTTAAGACTTCCTGAACTTCCTCTTCTGTAATGGGAACTGTTTTTAAAACATCAAAGTTTAATTCTCTGAATCATATTGACTCCATTTCTTTCTCTGCAGTAAAAACTGATGTGAAATATTCATTTAGTATCTCTCCCATCTCCTGGGGTTCAAAATACAGGTGACCTCCTTGATCTTTAAGAGGCAATACTGATTTTAAAACAATGAAAGCAGTGTTGGTGAAAAGGAGGTAAAATTAAAACAAAAAGGTGATTGGTATTATGTCTAAAAGTTATGGAGAAAAATGGGGGAGTTATGGTGGGCTGAGTGGAAGGGCCCATCAAATGACATAGAGTTACCCCATCTACCCCATCTACCCCATCAAACCAGTAGTGAATTTGTAATTTGTTCAGACAGTTAGCAAATGTCAAAGAAGGCCAAGAGTCAGACGGTGCAGAACAGTGGAGTAAAGGAAACAATGGGAAAAAGGCAGGAAGTAAAAGCAGAAGGTAATATGAAATGAATTGTTTGCTGCCTTATTGAAAGCAGAAATAGGTGTATTAAATTCTATGGATATTACAAAATAAGATTGTTAAGGCTGGGCAACTAATTAGGGAAACTATTAAATTATCTGCAATCTGGACCAAACAATTTGCACATAGAGATGTGGCAAATTGGTTTCTGACCAACATGATCTGGAAGGTTGCTAATAGCAGCAACTGGGCAACATGCCACACCCAGCTGAAGCTAGTCAAATGCACTGTAAATTGTTAGAGCTATATGGTTTGACATAATGGCATGAACTAACCACCTCTTGCTATGTGGACATCTGTTAATTGGAAACAGTTATTTAATCTCACATACACTAATTTAACGTTTCAGCTTGATTTATTAAATATTATTTGCAATGCCACAGTTTATAATGCAACCTTTTTGGTTTTTAAATAGAACACACCAGAAAATATGGTGCCAGTCCCATCCTATCCCATCTGCTTGAGGACGTGCTGTGGGCATTTGTGTTTTTTGGCAAATGGCTGGATGATAACAACCAACCCCACCAAGCGAATGATTGTGAGCTATGGCCAGAAGGCTTACTTTACCCCTTCCATGCCCCTGCTCTTGAAACATATATATTGCAGCATAGCGGGGGTTCTTGTATATGGAGGCACTCATACAGCGAAATTGACCCTAACCACGTGTGTATCTGGCTAGTACTCATACTCTGTATCTTAATGGTAAAAGAGCGGAACCCCTCGTCAACTTATGTAGCAACAAAATTTATGTTGTCTATGATGCAATTAGACAAATTCCCTATATGATTAAAGAATGGGAGCGATGACCGTATATTGCCACCAATCGAATGAGGTGGGCACTTCGCACATTAAGTTTAGAAATTGCAGATTTTCATTGCACGGCGTCTCATTTGGCAACAGTACATCTTCTTACTGTAAGAAACTGCCGTGACTCTCAGCCACGATCGATTAATTCCCATAGCGGACAGTTTAAGAACCCTTATTGTGTTTCTTCGGGATATATTTAAGGGGTTGGTCACCTGAAGTTTCAGCAGTATTCTCGTTCTTGTGGCATCCAGCTGTTCCATTATTGTTAATTATTTGTTTCTTGTTTTTATATACCTGAAAACTTACCTGTAAACTCTATCACATATATGACCAACTTGCAGCAACTGAACAGTATGTACGCGCCTGTGTAAGGGTTTGATATCTGTTTTGAAGATATCAGAGAGTGGGTGCGTAGAGTTGAGCTTATTGAGTGATATTCGGCTAATTGGACATAACAATAAGCAAAGGAAGAAAATGGAAAATTACTTGGAAACCAGGTCTCATGAAAAAAAACAGTCTGCTTTGGCTGGAAGGTAACGGCAATGATGTTGGTGGGATTAGGAACAAACATAGGCACAGAGACACTTACAATTGTCTTTGCACAACGGAATGCCTGGATAAGTTCCGAAAGTACTAAGAAATGGTGATGCAGCAAATAACATTAGATTCAAAACATTATTAATATCGGGGTCTTTGCCCCACTCATTAGATATTCACCAGGCCGGGGCCATGAACCTTCACCATCGGACTGGGAACCGTGAAACGAGTGCCATAGACTCCGAGGTAGAGCTCAAAGTGCCGCCGTCGCCAGTTTCTATCGAGCTGAAAGGTACTGAAACTCATTAAGTTTGAACATGTATAAAGTAATTTAAGCCAATAGATTCGCTCATGTTGGTTAAGCTAATAAATTTGCTGAGTACTGAAGTGCACACTGTCAGACCTTAAACAACCTGTTAGGTACTTTCAGCCTAACAACACAGACGCTAATTCAGAGATAGTAAGAACTGCCGATGCTGGAGTCAGAGATAACACAGTGTGGAGCTGGAGGAACACAGCACGCCAGGCTGCATCAGGCAAAATTTTCTTAAGAAGGGTCCTGGCCCGAAACGTCAACTTTCCTGTTCCTCTGATGCTGCCTGTCCTGCTGTTCTCCTCCAGCCCCACACTGTGCTATCACTGACGCCACTTGGTTGGGTTGAATTTACCAGGCTTTTTATGGTCAGCACATACATACCTGGGCATTTTTTTCGCATCATTCGGTAGATGCCCTTGTTGTAGCTCTATTGGATCAATTTGGCCATGGACGTGAAGTGTAACTCAGAAGGGTGAAATTAAAGAATGGCTCACTCTGTTCTAATTCATCTTATACACTTCAACATGCAACTCCAGACTAACTAATATGTTCATTTCAAATTACTCTTTTTTTAAAATTGTTTTTTCCCTCTGGGAATTCCCCTCGCCAGAACTGTGTTAGTTCCCATATCATTTTCAGTATCAATGCCTTCACCATTTCTTGAAATCTGTACCTAGAAGTATAGAAAAGGGTTAGGAGCTTTGGGTATGATTTTATACCATACATGTTTCTCATGGACACAGACAAAATGTTAACGAGAGTTAGTCTAAGAGGAACTCTAGCAACACCATTTATTTCTGCCTGCACGGCGTCATTCAAACTAATTTAACAGCGTAATTTGCAAAGTTCATAAGTTCAATGAATGCAGATTCAGAAAATAGTGCTGCAATGCCATGATATAATGACGGTGCAAATGTCTTATGACTTCTTTGAAACAGTACATTAGTGAATAGGATAGCAATATTCAGCAAGCACATGAACATGATTTGCAAGTCCTGTGCGATCTCCATAATGAAGGAATCCTTCACAACAAACACGGAGAATGCTGGAGAAACTCAGCAGGTGTGGCAGCATCTGTGGAGAGAGAATTGGTTAGCGCTTCGTCCACAATGGCTCTGTTCCAGTAACATGGAGACAATAATCTTTGCAAATACTGGAAGCCAGACTCTACAGGTGTGAGGCTGGAAAAATACAGCAGGTCAGACAGCATCGGAGGAGCTGGAAAGTCAACGTTTCAGCCCCACCCCTCCTGTCTCAATTTATTTCGGAGCTCCCTTCCCCCTACCCCATTTATGAAGAAGGGTCCCGACCCGAAACGTCAACTTTCCTGCTCCTCTGATGGTGCTTGGCCTTCTGTGCTCCTCCAGCTCCAAACTGTGCTATCTCTAACTCCAGCATCTGCAGTTCTTGCTATCTCTGATATCATTTTCGGCCGTTTTGGCCGGCCCACACACGGATGCAGCGAAGCATGAGGGTGAATTGTTATTATATAAACCAGTAGACATTATCTTTACACAATCCTTACATGGTTTTGTAACCTTGGGCAGACGGCTGAGGTCGTGCCAAATGGTGGATGTAAATTTGGAACCGTTGTAAAAATACTGCGCGATTAAGGATTGCGAGATCATTCCTCACGTCAACTAAAACCGTCAGAAGTGTTCGACTGGAAGCAATTGCAAATATAAAAGCTTACAGTTTCAAAATTACGGAATTTGCAAGCCATATGTAGCCAGATTATAAGGGAGACGCATTGTGGAACTTAATTTTAGAAATGTCATTCCAAAAGAATCTGTAAACAGCTTGGACTAAAGTTTCGTTTTGCGAGAAACGAAAGTGAAACGGTTCGAAAAAACATCGCAGAGTTCCCATTCGCCTGTGAGCGATGGCGGCGAGTGCTAACTATCCATACCCTGTCCTGGTTGAAGGGGACTGGGCTCCAGACATCGCTAAAGTTTTGAAAACTAAACTTCAGGTTTATTTCCAAAGTAGAAAAAAATCGAATGGCGGAGACTGCGTCGTGGAATTCGACGATCTCTCTGAAAAACAAGTAGTGGTTTGGTTCGCCTCTCAGCAAAGTACGTGAGTTTCTTTGATATTGAAAGTTTCCACTTTCAAACACAACTCGTCAAAATTCATAGTTACACAGGGTCAAATGCAGTGTTGGTGTTAGAAATTAACTCGGTGGCGACAGATAACTCTCAATTGGGGGTTTCAATCCTGGACATCTCGAATGTGGCCAGGACAAACAATGCGGTTAGTATTTGTTGGGAGACAAACAGCCGTGTTCAGCGACCTGAGATTTTAACACTGTTTGATAACAGTGGCAAAATAACTTGAGTGCTGGACGTCCGAAGCAAAAATAGAAAATACTTGGCAGCAGCAATGAAGAAAAGAGCACAGTTAATGGGTGGGATTTTGTTGGAGCTTTGCCTGCAAATTGTCACAGAACCAACAAAGACCCCGGCATGCTGATGCCGCTGGCCTGCCGAATTGGCCATGTTAAGGCTTTGATTGGCAAAAGGGCATGAAGATCGACACTGGGCTTTCCCAAAACAATTTAATTCTGGTGGAGATGAGAAAACAGCATTTGCGTAAGGACACGCCGCTACGCTTCCTAACAAAATGTAAAATGTACTCCGACATTTAATCTTGCCAGCCCCAGAAACAGAAGGTTCTTCCTAACTTTTGAGACCAATATGATTTTTTTTCTCCCCCCAGATGCTGATAGGCCTGCGTTGTATTTCCAACACTTCTGTTTAAAGTTCAGATTCCCAGTGCTCCATTTTGTTTCTTTTTGTGTGTATCAGAGGCTTTGGGAAAGATAAGCAAAAAAAACCTGATGTTGAGGTTCAGAGGTAGTAAGAACTGCAGATGCTGTAGTCAAAGATAACACACAGTGTGGAGCTGGAGGAACACAGCATCAGAGGAGCAGGAAAGTTGACGTTTTGGGTGGGGACCCGAGCGACATCTTGTGTTTTAAGCATCAATTGAGAGCCTCAAGAAATAATGCTGGTTTTCAAAATTGGTTAAAAGCATTTGTCTTGGAACTTTTCTGCAGTGACTCCAATGATTGCAAAATCTATTATAGCTCTCTGGAGCAAATAGTCTGGAGGTGGAAGGTGGATATTTAACATTTTACCAGATTTTTATTCTAACTATGCTGGACTCTCCCATTCAAGAGCCATTTGCAAGCAAAGCATCTGAATTCTTCAGAAAGTCATCAGCTTCTGGAATTAAATGAATAAATATTCTTAGTAAAATAGCTATCAAGCAGTTTACTGACATGAGCTCTGTAAGAGAGACCGGAGTTTGCACAATCAACCTGTGTCTACGTGGGTTTCCTCTGGGTGCTCCGGTTTCCTCCCACAGTCCAAAGATGTGCAGGCTAGGTGGATTTGCCATGCTAAATTTCCATAGTGAGCATGGGGAATGCAGTGTTACAGTGAGAGAGTGGAGGGCGGGGGTGGGGGGGAGGGTGCAGTGGGGGTGTGGAGAGTTGGGGTATAAGTCTGGGAAGGATGCTCTTTGGATGGTTGGTGTGAACTTCTTGGGCCAAATGGCTTGTTTCCATGCTGGAGGGATTCTAAGGATAGAAAAAAAGAATATGTGTAATTGCAAAGTATAAAACAAATCTCTAACATTTTTGAAAGACACATTGCACAGAAAAAATCTTTCAAATGGACTAAATTTGAAGTGAATGTCCAATAATTAGTTCCAATAGAGATGGAGTGCTTGTTGAAGTGAATATCATCATTAACTAGAAACTGCCCCTCAATCATAACTTTAGTAGTCTGCTTTTCACATCAATAAAGAGCAATAAAAAAAGATTATGATCAAGCAATGTAGAGGGATTAATATTAGCATAAACCTGCGCAATTGACTGCCCTGAGGTTGCATTTAGCCCCGAGGTGTCCATCCCACAGTTCCATCAGGGTAAGCATTCAAGGTGAACCAATGAACAGAGTGCCTGCTGAATTCTCATGTCCAGGTATCTTTGACGCCTGACCAATTTGCAACCCTAACCTTAACCCTTTTGCAGTGTTCAATGCCATTCACAACTCTTCAGATATTGAAGTATTCCATGTCCACATGTAGTAAGCTACACTACAGTTAGGTTTGGGCTGAGAAATGGCAATTAACAATCATGCCACTGAAGGGCAATGCAACGACCATCTGCAGCAGCAGAGACTCAAAGAATCTCACCTTGCCATTCAATGGCATTGCCAGTGCTCATTCTCCCACTATCAACGTCTTGGAGATTACCATTAACCAGAAGCTGAATTGGTCTGGCTGTGTAAATAATGGGGCTACAAGAAAAGACCAGACACTGGAATTCTGCAGTAAGATAAAATCTCCTGTCTCCCAAAGCCTGGCCACAATCTACAAGTCTCAAATCAGGAGTAGAATGGAATACTGTCCTCTATGCTGGATAGGTGCACTTTGATGGACATTCAAGAAGCTCTACAACATCTAGATCGTGCCACGATCAGCATCCTGACATCCACTTCGAACATTTCATGCACTCAACATTAGCACACAGAGGTAATAAAGTCTAGCCTCAACAAGATGTGCTGCAGCAACTCACCAACGGTCCTTTAACAGTACCTTCCAAATCCACAAACTCTTCCAATCAGGTGGACAAGGACTGTCGATACGTGGGAGTACCACAATTTTCAAGTTTCTCCCCCAAGCCACGATCTTGACCTGGAGTGATGTTACTAACTGTTGGTTGATCAAAATCTGGCCCAAGCAGAGAACAGACAGCTCAATAGTCTTGGGAATCCCACTGTGAGAGGAAGGGAAGAGACTATGAAGGAATCTCAAAATGGAGCCATCTCGGGGATGTTCATGAAATCCAAAACTGATGTGAAATAAGTTGGTAAGACACTAAGCAGCAGATGAGAAACTCCACCATAAGAATGACTTGCTCTGACAGTACGATCTTCACTACCTGCAGACCTGTCATTGAAGCATGGAGTTTCAAGGATCACCCACACAACTTGCCACAGTGAGGCCACTCTCATTAAAATGGTGATGAGTGAGGGACTTGTTGCTGTTGGAAAATTGCCATCAAGACCATCAGATCACCCTAACTTGGGCCTTAATTACGTTAAGTGCTGTCCACCTTCATGGTGAAGATTGCCAATCCAGTTCCCCTCCTACTTCTGTGAAACATTCCTGACGGTTGTTATACATCAAGAATTTGTTTCTTATAGGGAGAAACAGGAGAAATTATAATAGTGGATAAGGAATGGCACAGACGTTAAACAAGAATTTTATTTCTGCTTTTGTAGTAAAAGACACAAAAAAATCCTTCCTCAACTAATGGGCAGTAAGGATCTAGAGAAAATTAGAAAATTTAAAATATTATTATAAGTAAATAAACTGTAATGGAGAAGTAGTACAAGACTGAAAGTCTACAAATCACCTGGACCTTTAGGCTCATACCATTTGATTTTAAAGAAGGTGGCTGCAGAGATAATGAATGCGTTGATTTTTGACCTTGCAGCATTCCCTAGATTGGAAGTGTGCAACATTAACCTTGTTATTTAGGGTAGAGAATGAGATAAACAAGCATCTGCAGGTAAAGTGAGCTGACTGATGTCAGTGCATCAGCTTGTGTTTACGCAGTGAATCCCTAGTGATTCTTCTAACAACTATTTAAATCTTTTGTTGTAGAGAAAAGTAGTTGGGGATGTTCCTTTGCATTCCAGGATGATGTTGGAATAGCGAGTAGCTTCAGAAGATGACAGCATGATCCAATAGTACTTTTAGTGTCCAAGACAGGTGCGGAAGTAAATGGATACACCAGTTGTTTACCCTATTATTTCATGTCCCTTGGAATTCTGGGACACATCGCAATATAAGGGAAATGGCCAGGGTCCACAAATGTCATGGATTTATTGTGGAATGGGTAGGTGATGGCCTAGTGGTATTATCACTAGACTATTAATCCAGAAACCCAGCTAATATTCTGGGGACCTGGGTTTGAATCCCAACTCGGCAGATGGTGGAATTTGAATTCAATAATTTAAAAAAAAATGTCTGGAACTAAGAATCTACTGATCACGATGAAATCGATACCAATTGTCGGAAAAACCCATCTGGTTCACAAATGTCTTTCAGGGAAGGAAATCTGCCACCCTCCCCTGGTCTGGCCTACACGTGACTCCAGACCCACAGCAAAGTGGTTGACACTCAACTGGCTTTTAAATGGCCTAGCAAGCCACTTCGTTGTACCAATCACTGCAAAGACTCAAGGAAATGAAACTGGATAGATCACCTGGTATTGACCTAGGCACCAAAAAAAGACAACGGCAGTAACAGCCCTGTCTACCCTGCAAAGTCCTCCTCATTAGCATCTGGGGCTTAGTGCCAAAAGTGGGAGAGCTGTCTCACAGACAAGTTAAGCAACAGCTTGACATGGTCAAACTCACAGAATCGTACCTTACAGACAGTGTCCCAGACACCACCATCACTATCCCTGGATATGCCCTGTCCCACTGGCAGGACAGACCCAGCAGAGGTGGCAGCACGGTGATATACAGTCGGGAGGGAGTTGCTGTAGGAGCCCTCAACATTGACTCCGGACCCCATGAAATCTCATGGCTTCAGGTTAAATGTGGGCAAGGAAACCTTCTGCTGATTACCACATAGCATCCTCCCTCAGCTGATGAATCTGTACTGCTCAATGTTGAGCAACACTTGGAGGAAGCACTGAGGATGGCAAGTGTACAAAATGTACTCTGGGTGGGGGATTTCAATGTCCAACACCAGGAGTGGCTCAGCAGCAGTACTACTGATCGAGCTGGTTGCGTCCTAAAGGACATCGCAGCAGAAGATGAGGGAACCAACAAGAGGGAAAAATATACTTGACCTCATCCTTGCTAATCTGCCAGCTACAGTTGCATCTGTCCATCACAGTATCGGTAAGAGTGACCATTGCACGGTCCTTGTGGAGACAAAGTACCATCTTCACATTAAGAATAACTTCACTCATGTTGTGTGGCACTATCACTGTGCTAAATGGAACAGACTTCGCACAGATCTAGCAACTCAAGACTGGGCATCCATGAGGCGCTGTGGGCCATCAACAGCTGCAGAATTGTACTCCAGCACAATCTGTAACCTCATGGCCCGGCATATCCCCCACACAACCATTCCCATCAAACCAGGGGATCAGAGTGCAGGAGGGCATCCCAGGAGCAGCACCAGGCATACCTGAAGATGAGGTATCAACCTGGTGAAGCCACCAAACAGGACTACTTGCACACCAAACAGCGAAAGCAGCAAGTGATAGACAGAGCTAAGCGATCCCGTAACCAATGAATCAAATCTAAACTCTGCAGTCCTGCCACATCCAGTCATGAATAGTGGTGTACAATTAAACTACTCACTGGAGGAGGAGGCTCCACAAATATCCCCATCCTCAATGATGGAAGAGCCCAGCACATCAGTGCAAAAGACAAGCATTTACAGCAAACTTCAGCCAGAAGTGCCAGTATTACAGATACCAGTCTTCAGCCAATTCGATTCACTCCACATGATGTCAGGAAATGGATACAGCAAAGGCTACGGACCCTGATAACATTCCTGCAATAGTACTGAAGACTTGTACTCCAGAACCTGCCGCTCCCCAAGCCAAGCTGTTCCAGTACACTTACAATACTGATATCTACCCGGCAATTGTGGAAAATTGACCAAGTATGTCCTGTACACAAAAAGCAGGACAAATCCAACCCGGCCAATTACCGTCCCATCAGTCTACTCTTGATCACCAGTAAAGTGATGGAAGGTGTCATCAACAGTGCTATCAAGCAGCACCTGCTCAGAAATAACCTGCTCAATGATGCCCAGTTTGGGTTCCACCAGGGCCACTCAGCTCCTGACCTCATTACAGTCTTGGTTCAAACATGGACAAAAGAGCTGAATTCCAGAGGTGAAGTGAGAGTGACAGCCCTTGATATCAAGGCTGCATTCTACCAAGTGTGGCATCAAAGACCCCTAGCAAAACTAGAATCAATGGGTATCAGGGGCAAATTCTCCGTTAGTTGGAGTCATACCTGACACATAGAAAGATGGTTGTGGTTATTGGATGTCAATCATCTCAGCTCCAGGACGTCTCTGCAGGAGTTCCTCAGGGTAGTGTCCTTGGCCCAACCGTCATCAGCTGCTTCATCAATGACCTTCCCTCCAACATAAGATCAGAAGTGGGGATGTTTGCCGATGATTGCACAATGTTCAGCACCATTCATGACTCCTCACATACTAAAGCAGTCCATGTTCAAATGCAACAAGACCTGGACAATATCCACCCTTGGGCCAACAAGTGACAAGTGATATCTTCGCCACACAAATGCCAGGCTATGAGCATCACCAATAAGAGACACGGTCCCTTGACATTCGATGGAGTTACCATCACTGAGTCCCCCACTATCAACATCCTCTGTGTTATCATTGACCAGACACTCACCTGGACTCACCACATAAATGCAGTGGCTCCAAGAGCAGGCCAGAAGCAAGTAACTCCCCTCCTGACCCCTCAAAGCCTGTCCACCATCTGCAAGGCACAAGTCAGGAGTGTGATGGAATACTCCCCACTTGCCTGATGAGTGCAGCCCCAACAGCACTCAAGAAGTTTGACACCATCCAGAAAAAGTAGCCGGCTTTATTGGCACTACATCCACAAGCATCCACTCCCTCCACCACTGATGCTCAATAGCAGCAGTGTGTACTATCCACAAGACGCACTACAGAAATTCACCAAAGATCCTCAGACAGCACCTTCCAAACCCACGACCACTTCCATCTGGAAGGACAAGGGCAGCAGACATATGGGAACACCATCACCTCTAAGTTCCCCTCCAAATTACTCACCATCCTGATTTGGAAATATATCACCGCTCTTTCACAATTGCTGGATCAAAATCCTGGAATTCCCTCCCTAATAACATTATGTAGCAATCTAAAGCAGAAGGTCTGTAGTGGTTCAAGAAGGCAGCTCACCGCCACCTTCTCAAGGGCAACTAGGGATGGGCAAGAAATGCTGACGAGCCAGTGACAGCTGCATCCCACAAATGAATAAAACAAGGTACAAAGGTCAGAGGAGAAGGTGCAGTTGACTAAATTGATAGCTGCAGAAATGTGGCAAATGGCATCAAAGGTTAAACTTGGAATTTGGAAGTGCAGGTGTAAGTGAATTGGGGAATAGTTTATCCCATGCCAAGTATAGAAGTTAGCAGGACTGAGAAACTCATGTTTCTCCCAGTGACAACTAATTTCTCCACCAGTAATTCTCCATGTTTAAGCTTAATACCCATAGTTACCTGGTTTCTCCCTCTTTGTTTGATTAGGGGTATTACATTTACAAACCCGACACCGTGATAAATATTTTTTCAGTGAAGTGGTTTCCTGCGTATGTGGAAGCATTTAGGCTTGGGATACCAACTTTTCTGAAAGATTTGCTGATATTTAAAACCTGCTGTGTGGTAAATCAATCTGCGTTCTATTGTATTGTCACTGCACACTGAAAGACCAGTAAAATAAAGCAGCACGGTGGCTCAGTGGTTAGCACTGCTGCCTCACAGCACCAGAGATCTGGGTTTGATTATAGCCTGAGGTGACTGTGTGGAGTTTGCATGTTCTCCTCATGTGGGTATCCTCCCACAGTCCAGAGATGTGCAGGCTAGGTGGATTGGCTATGTTAAATTGTCTGTACTGTGTAAGGATGTGCAGGCTAGGTGGATCAGCCAAAGGAAATGCAGGGTTACACAAATAGGATGGGGGGGTGGGTGTGGTTGGGATGCTGTTCAGAGGGTTGGTATGGACTGAATGGGCCAAATGGCCTGTTTCCACACTGTAAGGATTCTATGATGATGAAAGCAAAGAACTGCAGATGCTGAAACTATGAAACAAAAGTAGAAATCACTGGAGAAAATCAGCAGATCTGGCGGCATCTCCTTCTGATAAAGGATTGCTGGACCCAAAACCAAAACCGTGTTTTCTCTGCACGGATGCTGTTAGAACTGCTGAGTTTCTCCAACAATTTCTGTTTTTTCTTACTGCAAGACCAGTGTTTGACAAAAGCAGAATTTGCTGGAAAAGCTCAGGAGGTCTGGCAGCATCTGTGAAGAAAGATCAGAGTTAATATTTTGGGTCCAGTGACCCTTCCTCAGAACATTGTGTTTGACAATTCTGATTTAATACAATGTTACAACTGCTCTTCCTAATGTTTCCTGTAGCAAGATGCCAAGTGTTGGAGAAAGAAACACATGAAGTCGATATGCAAAAGAGAGGGAAAATTCACTTAACTGTCAAACCTCTACCTCAAGCAGATGGGGACTGGGTCACAACACCACAACTGACTCCAGGACAGTCTGTAAGTTAATGTGTTCAGTTATCCCTGTGTTTAAAGTGTGTTCTGTTTTCAATAATAATAATAACAATAATCTGTTTTCAACCTAACAGGATTTGTAAATAACAGGGCTTACTGAATCACACTGGTCCAATTTTGTTTAAGGACAGCTTTGGCATATGAAACACAAATTGCTTGGTAGTTGAACATATTCAGTCAGTATTTTAAACAAACACCACTTTGCTTTCCTCTCACTCCCTTCTGCTTGTTGCCTCTCCCAACCTTCCCATTCCCTCCTGTTCACTGCCTCTCATGACCTTTTCATTTTCTCCTGTTTGCTGCCTCTTCTGACCTTCCTACTTCCTACTTCTGTCCCCCCTCCCACTTACCATCCTGCTCATTGCTGCCTACTACTTGCTGTCCTTCTTCTGAACGCTTACTTGGTCTCACTCGCTGTCTTGCTGATTGGTTCTCTTTTGCACCCCCTTGCTCCTTTCCACTTGCTGCTTTGCTTGCCACCTCCCTCTGCAGCCATCATTGTGAGGGTGAGCTAAAGAGAATGGTAGCGAGAGGAAGGAGTGAGGGATCAGGAGAAGTGTGGTGAGTAGAAGAGAAAAGTAAGCAATGAAATATGAAGGAGTGAGAGGATCAGGCAAGGAGTATCAAGCACAAGTGAGGGAGCGAGAGGGAGTGAGCGAAGGGCAGCGAGTGAAAGGGAACCAAGGGATTGAGAGAAGAGGCGAAGGTGTGACGGAGTTGGGAGTGGGAAACTGTGAGCAGAAAGCCAAGCAGCAAACAAGTGATAAGATGTGGCAAATTAGAAGCAACAAACACGAGGTAGTAGTAAAATAGTAAAAGAAGATTTTTTGGACCATCTAGGTACAAGGCAGACCAATAGGTTTTAATAAAAACGTTATATGTCTGGAAGTTTATCCAGCCTTGTTACGTGTTTCTTGTGGCAATGTGATTTTTGTTTTACATGTTTTTGTTTAGCAGTCAGTTTTATGAAATGTGCAATTATATGCAATTATAAATATAATTTCAATATTTTTAAGCATAATTTTAATTTAAAAAAGATAAACTTGACATTTTACAGGACCAGGATACTGTAAGAAAACTACGCAAGACAGAAAAAGGTACATCCAATTTCTTCTAAAATGTTAAAATGTTGATTCACTTGAGTGATATTCACAGGAACCTATTCCTTCCATTGACACATTGTGGCAGGCGTTATCAATAGGACATGCGAAAATATCTTTCTACAAAAAGGTGTATGTGGACTGTATGTTTTATTGTATGTGGATCAAATATGTGTAATTGTATGACTAAGAAAGTAGAAGAAATACTGAAGAGTAAATCAATTTAAGATATTTTTGATTCGGTGATAATAAATCTATCTTATTGGTGATTTAGTTATGGGAGTTGAAGATTAGAATCCTAGGAAAAATCAGAATGAGAAGACAATGCTTCCATGATTTCTTTAAATCCTTCTTCTGTATTTGATTGCAATTTTAGTGAATACTGAATTTGTACTGCAGTTTTCACGGACAGCTAGTTCAGCCAGGATCTTAGTGATGGGTTAGGTTCAAGGGGCTAAATAACGTATTCCTTTTCATATAGTTTTTCCAAGTTTCACTCACATCTTAGAAAAATTCACATATTTTTGAGGGTCTTTATCCCAAAGTGTGTAGAAGACTCTGAAAGTTTGTGGAGGGATATAGGTAGTTTAAGTGAGTGGGCAACGGTCTGGCAGATGGAGTACAATGTTGATAAATGTGAAGTCATCCATTTTGGAAGGAATAACAGTAAAAAGGACTATTATTTGAATGGTAAAATATTGCAGCATGATGCTGTGCAGAGGGACCTGTGTGTCCTTGTGCATGAATCGCAAAAGGTTAGTTTGCAGCTACAACAGGTAATTAAGAATGCAAATGGAATTTTGTCCTTCATTGCTGGAGGGATTGAGTTTAAAAGCAGGGAGGTTATGTTGCAGCTGTATTGGGTGCTGGTGAGGCCACACCTGGATTACTGCTACAGTTTTGGTCTCCTTTCTTGAGAAAGGATGTATTAACACTGGAGAGGGTGCCGAGGAGATTCACTAGATTGATTCCAGAATTGAGAGGGTTGGCTTATGAGGAGAGACTGAGTAGACGAGGATTATATTCATTGGAATTTAGAAGAATGAGGGGGGATCTTATAGAAAATGTAAAATTATGAAGGGAATAGATAAGATAGAAGCAGGGAGAAAAAAACAAAAGCAGAAGTTGCTGGAAAAGCAACTATGAAGAAAAATCAGAGTTAACGTTTCGGGTAGGGTGACCCTTCCTCAGAACTGACGGTAGCTAGGAAAATGTCGATTTATATGCAGAAGATAGAGAGGGGGAGGGGTTAAAGGGCAAACGATAGTTGGGGATAGAGTCCAAAGGGAGAGGAGAGCAGTTGGGTAGACAAAGGAGTGGATAACCATCTGGCTAGGAGAGTGAATGGCTGTTTGTGGCGACTGTTAGTGACTAACAATAGGTAGTGTGTATTGGCACACTATGTGATAACAAGGCCTGATGTGTGGAGTAGGGGGCTAGGACATGGGTCACTGGACCTGAAATGCTGACTCTGATTTTTCTATACAGATACTGCCAGACCTGCTGAGCTTTTCCAGCAACTTCTGTTTTTATTCCTGATTTACAGCTTCTGCAGTTCTTTTGGTTTTTATATAGAAGCAGGGAGGTTCTTTCTACAGGCAGGTGAAACAAGAACAAGAGGGCATAGCCTCAAAATTAGGGGGAGCAGATCTAGGACTGAATTATTGAGGAACTTCTTCACACAATGGGTTGTGAATCTGTGGAATTCCCTGCCCAGTGAAGTAGTTGAGGGTTCCTCAATGAATGTTTTTAAAGCTAAGGTAAATTTTTTGAACAGCAAAGGAATTAAGGATTATCGTGAGAGGGTCATAAGTGGAACTGAGGCCACAAGATCAGCCATGATCTTATTGAATGGAGGAGCAGGCTCGAAGGGCCAGATGGCCTACTCCTGCTCCTGGTTCTTAAGTTGTTATGTTTTTATTGGCATGAAGAATGCTATACTTTTATGTAGGAATGTGGAAATGCATAGGATCTGAAAGGACCATTATCACACTTTTGAGTGTTCCCACAGTTCAAAGCTGTTTTCTACTTATTCCCTTGAAATAGTCAGTTGCACTGTCAATGCACCTTATGTTCTATAATACAAACGACATACCTAACTATATTTGGACATCTTGATATCAAGCACTTCTGAATTTGTTCAAGTTTAGAACCCTTCAATAATTTTTTCCAAAATCTGTCAACAGTAATGTGGTGACAGAATAAAAAGATTTTAATTAAAAATTGAGTACTAGCTGTTTATTGATTGTGGCTATGATAATTGAGTGCAAGAAAAGTAATTATTTCTGAGTCAGTTGGAGTCAATACAGATAAGTGTGAGGTGGTGTATTTGAATGAGACAAAGAAGGAAAGGAAATACATGATGGAGGGTAAGACCCTCGGAAGCACCAAAGATCAGAAACACCCTGGTCTGGATGTCCACCTTCTCTTAAGGCAGCAGGACAGGTAGACAAAATGGTTAAGAAGGCACATGGGATATTTGACTTTATTATCCAAGGCATAAAATTCAAGACCAGGAAAGTTATCCTAGAACTGTATAAAACGTTAGTTACCTGAACTAAAGTATTGTGTGCAGTTCTGGAATTCACATTATAGCAGGGATGTGATTGAATTGGAGAGGTTGCAGAGGAGATTTACCAGGATGTTGCCTGGGCTGGAAGGTTTGAGATATGAAAAATGATTGCCAGACTGGGATTGTTTTCCTTGGAGCAGAGAAGACTGAGGGGCTACGAGATTGAGACATATAAAATTATGGGGGGCATAGACAGGGTAGACAGAAAGAAATATTTCCCCTTGGTGCAGGGCTTAATGACCAAGGGGCACAGATTTTAAGGTAACAGACAGGAAGTTTAGAGGGAATGCGAGGAAAAATATTTTCACCTTAAGGATGGAGGAATCTAGAACTCACTGCCTGTTAAGGGTGGTAGAGATGATATCCTCATTACATTTAGGTAGTGTTTAGATGTACCCTTGTGATGCCGAGATGTACAAATACTATCGACTAGGTATAGAAAATGGGATTAGAATAGCCTTCCTGCTCCTCTGATGCTGCTTGTTCATCCAGCTCTACAACTTGTTATCTCAGATTCTCCAGCATCTGCAGTTCCTACTATCTCGGGATTAGAATAGTTGGTTGTTTTTTCCCAGCACAGACTTGATGGGTTGCAGGGCCTTTTTCTGTGCTGTAGACCTCTATGACTGTATGTAGTGACATTGGTATAATTTGTTAGCAGGTAACTGAGCTGACATATGGCACCCACTCCATTCTAATATCAGTAGTAATTGCCTGTCAGAGTGGGAAGAAATTAAGTCCTGGAACGTTGTATACATTTGCATGGAGGTACTTCACCCAGCAACGCACTCATCTTGTTTCTGTCTCTCACACACATGCACAATCCCTGAGTTTGCTGTTCCCAATGTTAGTACAGTTCACAGTTTCCTCATCATACCGCAAGTAAAAGTGCACAGAAGAGCTGTCGATTTTCAGACCATCTAACTTGTACTCAAGGGGTGTAATTCTAAGTGATTACTTTTACAAATCTACAATCAGTCTTATTGTTAATATCATTACCACCTGTACCTTCTTTCCTTCCTACACCAACTACACCTTCTGGTTTGCCACCAGTGGTCACGCAGCCACCTTTCCAAATAGAGTCACATGTAAAGCAAAATGCCAAGAAGGACATGTTTTTTTCTAACTTTTTGAACCCACCTTTTCATTTTTTTTTGGAGTTTACTTTTATCTCAGAATATTGGCTACTGGAAAATAATGCTTTTAAAGAGGATCAGAAGCCGGCACATGGGACCAAAACTTGGCAGGTAGAGTTTAACGTGGAAGACTGTGAGGTTATCCATTTTGTTTGGAGGAACAGAAAGACAATTTATTTTATCTAAATGAGAAAAACTTCAGCGTGCTTCAGTGCAGAGGGATCTGGGTCTCCTCATGTATGAATCACGGAAAACTAGTATGTTGGTACAATGGGTAATAGGAAGGTAAATGGAATTTTGGCATCTATTGCAAATGGAATAGAGTATAATAGCAGGGAAGTGTTGTTGCAACTCTGCAAGGCACAAGTGAAACCACATCTGGAGGATTGAGTACAATTTTGGTCCCCTTACTTGAAGAGGGATGTGGTTGTATTGGCAGTTTAGAGAGGGTTCATTAGATTTGATACCAGTGATGAGGGGTTTGTCTTGTGAAGAGAGATTAAATTGTTTAGTCCGATACTTTCTAGAGTTTAGAAGAATGAATGGAGATCTAATTGAGGTATATTAGATGTTAAAGGGGTTTGACGGAATGGACATAGAGGGGATGTTTCATGCATTTGTTCACATCCGATAATGATTCAAAGAGCAAAGACCTTACGTTTTAGACAGAAAGTGTAAAATTCACACTGCCTGGTATTTTGTGCTTCATTCTTTGTGACATGAAAGTGATAGGTTTGTGACTGCTCACAGGGAAGACCGCTGATTATGGCTAACCATGAAGGAAAGGAGCTAATTAGCAGCTTATTTCCAAACAAGCAAAAGTGAGGGAAAGTTGGGGGCTGAATTTGGACCGATCACTGCAAGCATATTACTACCAAGCACACTATACAATAATCTTCTTTCTCTTAACCAGCACAAGCAAAGAAAATGAGATACGAAAATTACGTTTTGATATGGAGCTAAAACAATTGAAAATATATATAGTAGCAAAACTAAGACCTTCAAACCTGAAGAAGTCATAGGACAGCTTAGTCCAAAGTTTACAAGAATTGTTTATCTGCTTTACAAATCTGTTGAATTTCTCGAGTTCTGTTAAAAATGTATTGAATAACTTGGGAATAATATTGCCTGTAAATGGCAATGTTCAAATGAAACCTGTTGTTAACAAACAGCATGATTTTTTTCAGAATGAGGGAGCAACTATTTTGACTTAGTAAGTGTCAGAACAAATTATTTTCAATTATTTTCACTGTTGCGAGATAAAAAACCTGGAATGCTGTTGTAAGTGTACCTGTATCAGATGGACTGCGGCAACTCGAGAAAACAACTCTCACTACCTTCTGAGTGGATGAGGAACAAAGCCGCACTACATTAAATTTTCTTTCAAAAATGTAGAAAATGCTAGAAATCGGGTCAGGTCTGTCAGCATCTGACAGAGAAAGCTCTATTGACATATAAGGGACAATCTTGGGCATCCAAAGATAAAGTTTTGAGAATTATTTCATATTTTGTTTCCCCAACTAGGTAAGCTAACAATAGTGGTTCTCAGATCTTTATGTTTGAAAGATCCCATTTTAAACGAAGTAGTAATTACTGACCCCCCTGTTATTTATAATATGATAAAATTATTTTCTGAATAAAATGTTGACCAGTGCCTTGTTAAGGAAGTTGAGTGAAATTTGAACAGGGCTGTCTGATTCAGTGAACACTGGTGTGATTGATGACGTAACACCTGTATATTTCCTTGAACTGAAAGGTAACCTTACAGGTTTAGCAACATGCTTTTTGAATACTTCACTGGAAGGCACGCCTCTCCTCGTATTCAGTGACATTGTTTATGCTGAGACTCTTTGGCATGTAACCACCACCACACCTACCGACTAAATGCACAGGCAATGCACACAAAGGATTGTTTGTCCCTCCCTCTCTGTTATTCCCAGCCCACCTTTGCTGAAATATTATTGGCATGCTGTCATCAGACTTGCCTGTAACTGGGCCACCCAACAGTGCATAGACGTCCACGGTTCCCAATTATTGTTCCTTGGCAGCATGGTGGCTCAGTGGTTAGCAGTGCTGCCTCACAGCACTAGGGACCCGGGTTCAATTCCATCCTCAGGTGACTGTCTGTGTGGAGTTTGCACATTCTCCCTGTGTCTGTGTGGGTTTCCTCCAAGTGCTCTGGTTTTCTCCCACAGTCCAAAGATGTGCAGGCTAGGTGGATTGGCTATGCTAAATTGCCCATAGTGTTCAGGGATGTGTAGATTAGGTAGGTTATAGGGGGATGGGTCTGGGTGGGATGCTCTGAGGGTTGGTGTGGACTTGCTGGGCCAAAGGGCCTGTTTCCACACTATAGGGATTCTATCTATCTATCTAACTAACAAAAAAGTGACAAAACAGTATACCTCTATGTTGAACGTAGGTTGAGCCACCTAGGGTTTTTTTCATTGGAGCAAAGAAGAATGAGAGGTGACTTGATAGAGGTGTACAAGATGATGAGAGGCATAGAATAGAGTGGATAGTCAGAGACTTTTTCCCAAGGTGGAAATGACTATTACAAGGGGACATAATTTTAATGTGATTGGAAGAAGGTATAGGGGAGATGTAAGAAGTAGGTTCTTTACACACAGAGTGGTGGGCGCGTGGAAGGCGCTGCCGCCAGTGGTAGTGGAGTCACATACTTTAGAGACTTTAAAGCGACTCTTGGATCGGCACATGGAGGATGGTAAAATGTAGGGTATGCAGGGTAGTTTGATCTTAGTAGGATGATAGGTCGGCACAACATCATGGGCCAAAAGGCCCTTACTGTGCTGTACTGTTCTATGTTCTATGGTTGGAGTAATATCTATCAATGGAAGAGGGTTTTGATTATTGGGGGTCAATCATCTCAGCCCCAGGACATCTCTGTGTAGGATTCTACAGGGATAGGGGTTAGGTCCAATCATCCTCAGCTGTTTTATCATTGACCTTCTCTCCACCGTAAGGTCAGAGGTGGTGCATTTTTGATAATTGCATAACATTTGTGTACCAATGCAGTAAGACCTGGAAAACATTCAGGCTTAGGCTGATAAATGGCAAGTAACATTTGCATCACACAAGTGCCAGGCAATGACTATCTCCAACAAGAGAGAATCTGACCATTGCCCCTTGACATTCGGTAGCATTATCGTCACTGAATCCCACACTTTTAACATCCTACGCCTTACCATTGACCTGAAACTGAAACAGCCTGACTATATAAATGCTATAGCATCAAGAGCAGGTCAGAGACTAGGAATTCTGCGGCATGTAACCACTGCCTGATTCCCCAAAGGCTGTCCGCTATCTACAAGGCAAGTCAAGGGCGTGATGTAATGCTCCCCACTTGTCTGGCAGCTGCAACAGTATTCAAGATGATTAGCACTGTCCAGGTCAAGCAGTCCTCCTCGGGGCACATTTTCTAATTCCACAACCTCTCCCACTTAGGAATATAGGGGCAACTAACACATGGGAATACTAGCACCTTTAATTTTGGATCCTAGCCTGACTTGGAGCTATATTACTGGTCCATCACCGTCAAACTGTCAAAATCCTGGACCTCCCTCCTAATGGCACTGTGGGTGCATCTGTACCCGAAGCACTCAACAGTTCAAGAAGGCAACTCATTACCATCCTCTCAAGAGCATTTAGTGATTGGCAGTAAATGCTGGCATAGATATTGATGCCCCCATCTTGTGAATGAATATGGGTATTGTGACACAAGAGGTATTATCGCTGCACTTTAATCCAGAGACCCAGATAACTTTCTGGGGGCCTGGGTTCAAATCCCACCATGGCAGATGGTGAAATTTGAATTCAATACATACCTCGAATTAAGAATCTAATAATGACTGTGAATCCATTGTTGATTGTCAGGAAAAATAACCCATCTGGTTCACTAATGTCCTTTAGGGAAGGAAACTGCTATCCTTACCTGGCCTGGCCTACATGTGACTCCAGACCCACAGCAATGTGGTTGACTTTTAACTACCCTCTGGGCAATTAGGGATGGGCAATAAATGCTGCCTAGCCAGTGATGCCCTCATCCTGTGAATGAATAAAGAAACCTATGTATTTTTGGCATTTTTTGGCAGTTTGCATCTTTAAATTGTCAAGAAACTAACAAAATGATGGTAAAATGAAGGTAAAGGAGTAAAAGACTTAATACTGTTAATGATTGTTATGCTTTCTTATTGTAATTCTTCTTGTTAAGGTCCTCAGGCAGTGTTGAACCAAGAAGCCCATTCAGCGGAGAATGATCAATTAATGAGGAGACTTCATGAAGATAAGCGTGAAGATCCTGCACAATCCTCAGCTGTAGTGTTACAAAATCTTCCCAAAAACACCACATGTGAAATGCTAAATCTGCTAATTGAAAATTTTACTGGATTAACTGAAGAAACTGGTCATTTCAGTCTGGAAATATTGAATGAAACGAATATGGCAGTTGTGATTTTCAAAACTAACATTGGTAAGAATTAATATTCAACAATTTTTTGTTCAAGGTGATGTGTTAGAGAGCTAGAAGATCCAAGAGCAACAAAACTAGAATAGATAAATTTTGATTCGAAGAGATAGCAATACAATTATTACAAAATGATAGGAAGTCCTCAGTTAGAGTCATGTTTGCATGCCTGATCATCACAACTTTTAAACAAAACAACTTCAAGTGAAACATAAAGAAATCAATGTTAAAACTGAAAACCAAAGAAGTATGTATGCTGGAATCAGAAACAAAATTAGAAATTGCTGGAAAAACTCAGCAGGTCTGGCAGCATCTGTGGAAAGAAATCAGAGTTAAAGTTTCGAGTCCAGTGGAGAAGGTGCTCTGAAGAAGAGTCACTGGACTCGAAACATTAACTCTGCTTTCTCTCCACAGGTGCTGCCAGACTTGCTGAATATTTGCACCAATTTCTGATGTTAATATTAAAATTGGAGCTAGGTTCCATATAGCCTTCCACAGCAGAGAAAAAAAAATCCGTTATATTGGTAACCTTTAAGTTGCAAAACAGAACTTTAAATGTCTAAAAGTCTACATTGATAATTAAATAGCTGTTAAGATACGACAAATTGAAAAATGTGAAAGAAAATCTGTAACATTCCATTGTAATTTCAGAACCTCTGTAGTGGAAACTCTGGAACCTGGGCATTGCTGCCTGGGGTCAGTGCTAAAGGACTTTTGCCCACTGGCACTAAGCCACGTGCTGGGGCCATTGCATACACCTGCCTGAATTTTTGAGGGAACAAGGCGTCCCGTTTTGATAGTTGCTCCTGCTTCCCTGGTCCCTTTGGATCACTGCTTGATGAGGCTGCTCCTCCTAGCTGGCAACAGGGCACTGGTCTTCCTCCTCTTGATTGACTGACAGGGGTTTTGTCATGTTGGGTTGAGCAGATTTTACTCCCCTGTCTCCATCCAGGCTGCAGGGTTTCTGTGGCAGGTCATGGCTGGTGCGGCCATTTGGGGGAATCTAGATGGAGTTTGGTGGCTCCCCTGCATTATTTCACGATTCAATGAGCTGCTGCCTGCTGCAGGAGTGCTGCGGTTCTGGCTCCTGCCTGGGAAGCGGAGCTGGTGAGCTCATTTGTGGCTGGCACTGTAACTGGCCAAGGATGGGGGTGGGCAGCACATTGTCAGGGAGGATCTGCTATGTCGTATCTGAGCTAATCCCAAAGGCGTTGGCGTCTTCTCAGTGGGTTGGGGGTGCTGTCAGATGACAGTGCAGCAAAGGAAGAGTCTGCAAGTCAAACACTGGACACCAGCAACAGTCTCAAGTCTTAAAATAGGAGAGATCCTGCCAAAATGGCACAAATTGGGTAAGGTACTACAGTAAACAATGTTAAAACCAATCTGATGTTCAACAACAGTTCAGGCCCTAATCACTTAACAACATTAAAGCAAAACAATGCTAAATCGGCAAAGTTAAATGTGGAGTCGCTGTACAAATAAACACCTCATCCCTTAAAGGGGAAGTTTGTTTTCGCTTGACCAACTACTAGAAGTTGCCAGGGGAAGAGTGACCAGGCTGTAAGAAAAGTCACGCTGACACAAGAACAAGGAGAGCTTGTTTCAAGGATCTCACATTTCCCACTGGAAGATTTGGTGGAGGAGGTAGACATGAGAAGCAATGTCATGTCACAATTCATGTCACAATGGGGCAAAAAAGTTGTTATGAGTGGGACCAGGTAACACATTTGGTCAATATAACAATCTTGCCTCAAATACCTGGGGGCAGAATCAAAAGAAGTTCAGTACCTTCACACAGGTAATCAAGATTAGCATTACATCTTCAAATATCACGTCTGTGGAATGGAACTACTAGCCTTACATACTGTTCAGTATGCCATCCACCCTGTCACTCACCAATGAACAATCTCCATCAATCATGACCCAGACCTCACAATCATATAATTCACCTCACCCCCACACACTAAGTATTGCTACAATCCTCACAACATGGTATTTTGACAATATTGCACTTTATCAAGAAAGATCTTGCTTCATTTCAGTGAAAGTTGAGGTAGGACAGTGGCTAGATTCCAAATATTCCTTTGATCTTCAATCATTGATCCGGTGTGACAATGTCAATATTGCAGGGATGGGGCACAAGTAGAATGGAATAATTACATTATGGCAGAAATATTTTGATTAAAGAATCAAATGTGTAATATTGAACATGTTCATAACCAATAAAAGCAAATTTTAGTGCCAAGTAGACAAAGTGTAAGAGATGTGAAGAAATATCTCAAAAGGTAGAACTAGTGGAAAATGGAGACAATCGTGCAGAACTAGAGTAGCAGAAAATGCTATACTTTCTGCGACTAATGGCTTCCATTTGATTAATTCACAAAAATTGGCATTTGTTTATAAAAATACCCATTATCCTGTCTTTTCCTAAATTGCTTTCCTAATAATCAAAAGTGTTATGAGTATTAAGCTATCCTTTCAATTTGTAGCTTTTATTTATTAAGAATCTTCAGATATCTTTCCAGAAACATCATTGTGATATTTTTAATTTTACCTTACTTTTAGACATCAATGACTTCATTGAAAAGTGCTCCAGAAAAGTATTGAGTAACAACCAAAATATTATGGCACGGCAGCTGGAGATGACAACAAGTGTGAGAGTGGAGAACCTACCTTCCAATATCAGTAACCAATTCTTAAAACTGTACTTTGAAAGTTCGAAAAATGGATGTGGAGAAGTGACTGACATTGAAATGATGTCTGAGGACGATGTAGCAATTGTTTCTTTTGGAGATTCTAATGGTAATATTTGTGTACTGGAAAATGTAGACCATTTAAAGTAAAGGGGCTGATTTAATGGCCACAGGAAAGAGCCCGTCCCCTTGCTCTTCAGGTGATATTAACCCCTCTTTCCCGGGCACCCTGAATGACCAAAGCCTTGGTTGACGTTTGGGTTTGCAGTTCATAACTTACAAAGGATGTAGTAACACAAGTTGGCCATTAAGCCTATCAAGTCTGTACTGGTATTCAGTGAGATCATCACTGATCTGATAATACTCAGCACCACTTTTCTGCCTTTACCCGTAACCCCTAATTCCCTTACTAATTAAAATGCTATCTGTCTTAAACTTGAACATGCTTAATGACCGAGCCCCTGCAGCCCTCTGCAGCAAAGAATTCCACATTCATTAGCCACAAAGAGACTAAGTTCCTCCTCATCTCTGTCTTAAATGGACGACCATTTATTCTGAGATTATGCTGTTTAGTCTTCGATTCTCCCACATGGGGAAACAACCTTTCCACATCTACCCTGCCAAGTTCTCTAAGAATCTTGCATGTTTTAATAAGGTCACTTCTCATTCTTCTAAACTCTAGTGAGTACGTGATCAATCTCCTCAACCTTTCCTCATTAAACAGTCTCTCCATACCCAGGATCAACTTAGTGTACCTTCTTTGGACTGCCTCCAAAGCCAGTATATGTTTCCTTAGATGAGGGTCCCAAACTGTTCGCAGGACCTTGCAGTGTAGATGTTCTGCTTTCGATTAATGACTGATACAGTGACTGGCAGCACTTTGTACCAGTGATGCCATTGGAAACAACACCAATCTTCCAAACACCCACCTTTTACCCATTCACAAGTGATAATAGAGAATTTGAATTATTTTTCTTTATTCATTTATTCATGAGATGTGTGTGTTGCTGGCTGGTCCAGCACTCATTGCCCTCCCTAGTTGCCTTTGAGAAGTTGATGGTAAGCTGCCTTCTTGAACCACCACAGTCCATTTGATGTAGGTACACCCACATTGCCAGTATTAAGGGAGTTTCAGGATTTTGACCCAGCCACCTTGAAGGAGCAACATATTTCCAAGTCAGGATGGTGAGTGGCTTGGAGGGGTACTTGCGGGTGATGGTGTTTCCATGTATCTATTGCACTTGTCCATCTACATGGAAGTGGTCATGTGTTTTGAAAGTGCTGTCTAATGAACTTTGGTGAATTACTGCTGTGCATCTTACAGATGCATCTTACAGATGCTCACTGCTGCTATGGAGTCGGGGAGCAAGTGAATTTTGTGGATGCAGTGCTCATCGAGCAGGCACTTTGGTCTGTAACAAAAACAGACGTTGCTGGAAAAGCTCAGCAGGTCAGAACAGAGGAAGAGTCACTGGACCCGAAATGTTACCTCTGATCTTTTCTTCACTGATGCTGCCAGACCTGCTGAGCTTTTCTAGCAACTTCTGTTTTTGTCCCTGATTTACAGCATCCACAGTACTTTCGGTTTTTATTTAGCTTTGTTCTGGATGTTGTCAGGCTTATTGAGTTTAATTCTGCCCATTGTTCCAAGAAAATGTTTTGGGAACTTAACATTCTGTTTGTTTTATTTATAGTTCTGGATACCATCTTGGCTAAAACACATGTTATTGAAAAAACTCCAATCTATGTCTATCCCTACTACAAGAGTTTGGGTTCAGCTTTATATGGCAACAAAAGACCAGTTGTGAAAATGCCTGATCCCTTCACCTTCAAGTTGGATCCCTACATCTTCCAATTTCTTCAAAAGGATAGAAGGCGAATTGCGGAAATCAAAGACAAAATGTCAGTGCATCATTGTAACATTGCATTGTTAGACACAGACTTGTCAAACTCTATCAAGATATCTCCAACATTTTCAGGACAAGAAACTTCATTAAAAAAACTTGTAAAGAATTGGAAACAGTTGGCTTCAGATAATTTAACTGGTATCCTGTCAAAATACAAAACCATTAATAATAGCGTGAGGCGACGTACCTGGGAAAAAATTCAGGGAGATTTTAAGCAGCATTTGAACCAAAATATTGTTGTTGTACCAGCTATTTCAAATGAACAAGTAATAGTTGCTGGAGATTCTGACAGCGTAGATATTTTTCAACAAGAATTCAAATCACTCGTGGATAGAGTCACTGAAGAATTGGAAAGGGAGAAACAAAGTGTGACCGAGAAAGTGAATTGTGATCCTGCTAAATGTAATCTTTTATTAAGCACTGATCTTGAAAAGTGTGTTTCCACAATGTTTCCCAACCTTACCATGGAATACAATACATCTGCAGGTGATATTACATTATATGGTTTACCTAAAGATGTTTTTGCTGCCAAAAGTAAAATATTGGAAGAACTTGTTCAAATAAAAACAAAAAAACTTGATATGAACCCCCATCTTATTGATTTCCTACAACGACTAGATTCTAATGAAGTTTCCTGCTGCTTGTTCATATCAAATGGAATCAACGCTATGTATGACATTCAAGATAACTGTGTCTTACTCATAGGAATTAAGGATTCCTTTTTATGTGCAGCAGAGGAACAGATCAAAAAACGTCTGAATTTCAAACGTATTAAGGTGGAAGATTCAAGAGTCATTGGAATGCCTGAGTGGGCACAACTGAAACAAAAATTGGTCACCAAGCTAAATTCTCCCATGATACAAGTTGAAATCAAAGTGATGACAATGGACGAGCATTTGGAGATCATTATCTCTGGCTATTCTAGTGCTGTCATGGATGTTTTTGAAATGCTTTCAGATTTTGTTACGAAAAACACAATCATTCAAAAACAAGTTCCCTTGAAATCTGCTGGAGTCCTGCAGTTTTTGATGGATGTTAGGAAACTTGATCTTTTCCACACAGCACCAAAGGACCTGAAAATACGAGTTAATGTTGAGGAAAATGGTTCAAGTGTGTTACTATCTGGTCCCCAAGTATATGTCCTTCAAATGGAGAATTACCTTTTAAGTGAAGCTACCACAGTAATTAGTTCTTTCTTTGAAATTGCCAAACCGGGAACAAAGAAGATTTTCAAAGAAAAAGAAGATATGTATGTTTCTACACTAATGCATAAATTTGATTGCATTCTAAAGATGATTGAATCTGGTAACTTTGGGGACAGTGCTAAATTGGGCCGAAGTCACTATAAAGTGCAGTTACCTCGTGGACCCTTGGTAACTGTTTATAGAGGAGACCTCTGCAAGAGTGAAGTTGATGTGGTTGTCAATGCAGCAAATGAAGATCTGCAGCACATTGGAGGCCTTGCAGCAGCTCTACTAAAAGCAGCTGGCTCAACATTGCAAACTCAGTGCAATTGGATTGTTAAGGAACAAGGATCCCTTGCACCTGGAGATGCAGTTATTACAAGTGCTGGTAAACTACCATGTTCCAGAGTAATTCATGCAGTTGGTCCAAGATGGGTGGGAGCTGATGCAGACACATCTAAGAAATGCTTAAGGAAGGCCATAATCCAAAGTTTGTGTCTTGCAGAAGCCCACAATTTGAAGACAATAGCAATTCCTGCTATTAGTTCAGGAATATTTGGATTTCCATTGAATTTATGTGCAGAAGTAATTGTCAGATCAATAAGAGAGCACTGTGTCGATTCACAGGGTGGCAGTGCACTAAAAGCAATCCATTTAGTAAATCATGATGAACAAACAGTTCGTGCCATTTCAGTTGCAGTTCAGAAAATTCTGGGTGAATTCGCACTTACTGGACCTACTCCCACACAGCCAAAAAGGCTTAACAGTGGCAGCAAGATAAACATCAGAAGCATGAACTGTGTGCATGAAGCCCAGACAAAGGAAGGTCTAAATGTTTTTGTTCTCAAAGGCGGAATTCAAGATGTAGCTGTAAGTCTTCAATTTAATTCATTTTGTTGAGATTGCTACGAAACATAGAACATGGAACAGTACAGCACAGGAACAGGCCCTTCATCCCACACAATGCTATCCTAAACTAATCTTATTTGCTTGTCCATATCCGCCTATTCTCTCA